GTGCTGCCCAATAATCACTTTACTGCTTTCGCTGATGCCATACTCCTTTAAATACGTTGTTAATTTTATGAAAGTACATATAGCAATTAACGCATAATGATTTGCAAAAAAATGCATTTGATAAAAAATATTTCCCAAAATGAAGCTTTCTCAAAATTACTGAGACGGTTTCTTTCTGAAAGTAGCTTCTTAAAAAATAAGTCCCAGACTGTTATAAAAACATCTAAAACAGTATTCCGGAACAGTTACATAGAAAATTTAAAAAAAAAGCTTTTCCCGCGCATTTCATCCCACTTTGTTTATAAACATTCAGAAAAGGTAGAAAGTCCAACACCTCATTTGAACAGAATTCAGACTTTTAAAAGTCCCAAATGGTTGTTCATAAATTACCTGTGGTACAACAATATCGGCCATATTTTTGGCGCAAAGATACATTCTTTCGAATTCCACTTCGTTGTTAATGCACAGGTCTGGATTATGTTCCATGTCATATTTTATGTTGTCGTAGATATCCGGTATTTTCGAAATATCAAATTCCACATCGCCGTTTTTGTTCACTCGACGAAATTCATGCAACTCTTTTGCCCAACGTCGTTCGGCCAAATCATACGATTCGTTCAGATACAAGCAGCGACCTGAAAAAGTTGGTAACCGCCAAATTACGGCGGTGGACAGATTATGCAACAACAAGAGACTGTTAAGAATCCCAAGCAACCAGATGAAACCGATACTTTTAATCAGCTCATTTCATACTAATCATCAGTGAGTGGAAATCAAGAGTACGACATCCTTGGAAGACGTCTGAAGACGGCGAAGGACCGAGCACATCGTAACTTGGACAGATAGTAAAATGATCGCAACTTGGATAGACGGTAAAAATGACCGGTGCGGTAGAGGGAATGAATGTTGCTGAAGGCGGATATACCGCCAGTAGAGAGTGTCTTCTGCAAATCTCTTGTCACTTCTACTCAACATAATCCAAGCATTCCGTCTCATGAAATTTCAGTAAAACTCACAGATCCATTCAAGTTACCATGAACAGCGAAGAAGACGGTGAACAGTCTATGCTATGCTCGAATTCAGCCTAATCAGTATATTTTTTTTTGTCTAAACAGCAGTGGCGAGCAAGTAAATCAGTTCTGTTTTGCCAATAACATATTTTTCACTTCAAATTATATCTACAGAATTACTGAGATGCTGCAGGAATTCAAGGCATGAATTAAGAAAATGGGCCTCAAAATCAACGCAACGAAAACGGAAGTGATGCCTGCATCAACAAGTTACAC